ATGGCCATGGTAGGGGGGTCAAGAAGAATGAGGGGGGCTGCTGGTTACAGTGTTGGCCGTGAGTAACAGCAAACCTGGCCACTCTAAGTATATGTTCTCCAGAATGTGTGCAAGTCAAGGTGAGTGTGGTGGTCACTACCACAGGTGGAATGCATTAGGCAGTGATGTGGTGGAGGCTGACTCCACACACAGTGTCAAGTGTAGATATGATAGAGCCCAGTAGGCTCAGAAACCTGTACACCAGTTGATTGACGGTTGAGAGACGGGACCAAAGAGCCAGAGATCAACCCCCGCAAGCACAAATAGGTGAGTACACACACACACATATTTTATATATATAATTATATATATATATATATATATATATATATATATATATATATATATATATATATATATATATATATATATATATATATATATATATATATATAATTGCGAGATAAGAGCAAGAATGAGTCTGGACGGTGTAAGGTTATACAGGCACATTATAAAAGGACATCTGCCAGGAGACGATAAGAGAGTGAGGGTAGAGTAATGCAACTCTCTCACTCCAGGAAGGTCCGGGGGTGAGAGTACAAGTCCTGGCCATCAAGATCCTTCTATATTTAGTCTCCGTGCCAAGTGGCCGGCCAAAACAAGACCGTAGTGTCCAATATGTCAGTATACCCAAGTTTACAGGCGAGGGATCACTATCTCTCCAGCCCAGCATTGGAATCACCGAATTGCGGCCTCTAAACAATGGGCGTAAGTGTCTCATCTGGTGGTACATGGAGCATAAGAGCCATAATGTACATTCTCGCCCGCTGATATCGCCCAAATACGGACACAAACCGACAAAAGCAGCTGAGCAGTAATTGTTGTGAGAGTGTGTGTGATGGACTGATACAGTCTCTCTCCCCCCACCTTACACGGGGTGCTCAGGCGGCCAGCAGAGACTCTCCACTCACGAGGCAGACCCGTTGTTCTCCACCACTGTCTGGCCTCCGACACTCACTGTCTAGCCTCCGACACTCACTGTCTAGCCTCCGACACTCACTGTCTAGCCTCCGACACTCACTGTCTAGCCTCCGACACTCACTGTCTAGCCTCCGACACTCACTGTCTGGCCTCCGACACTCACTGTCTGGCCTCCGACACTCACTGTCTAGCCTCCGACACTCACTGTCGGGCCTCCGACACTTACTGTCTAGCCTCTGACACTCACTGTCTGGCCTCCGACACTCACTGTCTAGCCTCCGACACTCACTGTCTAGCCTCCGACACTTACTGTCTGGCCTCCGACACTCACTGTCGGGCCTCCGACACTCACTGTCTAGCCACCGACACTCACTGTCTAGCCACCGACACTCACTGTCTAGCCACCGACACTCACTGTCTAGCCTCCGACACTCACTGTCTAGCCTCCGACACTTACTGTCTAGCCTCCGACACTTACTGTCTAGCCTCCGACACTTACTGTCTAGCCTCCGACACTCACTGTCTGGCCTCCGACACTTACTGTCTAGCCACCGACACTCACTGTCTAGCCACCGACACTCAATGTCTAGCATCCGACACTCACTGTCTAGCCTCCGACACTCTGTCTAGCCTCCGACACCCACTGTCTAGCCACCGACACTCACTGTCTGGCCTCCGACACTCACTGTCTAGCCTCCGACACTCACTGTCTGGCCTCCGACACTCACTGTCTAGCCTCCGACACTTACTGTCTAGCCTCCGACACTCACTGTCTGGCCTCCGACACTCACTGTCTGGCCTCCGACACTCACTGTCTGGCCTCCGACACTCACTGTCTGGCCTCCGACACTCACTGTCTGGCCTCCGACACTCACTGTCTGGCCTCCGACACACTGTCTAGCCTTCGACACTCTGTCTAGCCACCGACACTCACTGTCTGGCCTCCGACACTCACTGTCTGGCCTCCGACACTCACTGTCTGGCCTCCGACACTCACTGTCTGGCCTCCGACACACTGTCTAGCCTCCGACACTCACTGTCTGGCCTCCGACACTCACTGTCTGGCCTCCGACACTCACTGTCGGGCCTCCGACACTCACTGTCTGGCCTCCGACACTCACTGTCTGGCCTCCGACACTCACTGTCTAGCCTCCGACACTCACTGTCTGGCCTCCGACACTCACTGTCTGGCCTCCGACACTCACTGTCTAGCCTCCGACACTCTGCCTAGCCTCCGACACTCACTGTCTGGCCTCCGACACTCACTGTCTGGCCTCCGACACTCACTGTCTGGCCTCCGACACTCACTGTCTAGCCTCCGACAATCACTGTCTAGCCTCCGACACTCACTGTCTAGCCTCCGACACTCTGCCTAGCCTCCGACACTCACTGTCTGGCCTCCGACACTCACTGTCTGGCCTCCGACACTCACTGTCTGGCCTCCGACACTCACTGTCTGGCCTCCGACACTCACTGTCTAGCCTCCGACGCTCACTGTCTAACCTCCGACACTCACTGTCTAACCTCCGACACTCACTGTCTAGCCTCCGACACTCACTGTCTGGCCTCCGACACTCACTGTCTAGCCTCCGACACTCACTGTCTGGCCTCCGACACTCACTGTCTAACCTCCGACACTCACTGTCTAGCCTCCGACACTCACTGTCTGGCCTCCGACACTCACTGTCTGGCCTCCGACACTCACTGTATAGCCTCCGACACTCACTGTCTAGCCTCCGACACTCACTGTCTGGCCTCCGACACTCACTGTCTGGCCTCCGACACTCACTGTCTAGCCTCCGACACTCACTGTCTAGCCTCCGACATTCTGTCTGGCCTCCGACACTCACTGTCTAGCCTCCGACACTCACTGTCTAGCCTCCGACACTCACTGTCTGGCCTCCGACACTCACTGTCTGGCCTCCGACACTCACTGTCTAGCCTCCGACACTCACTGTCTAGCCTCCGACATTCTGTCTGGCCTCCGACACTCACTGTCTAGCCTCCGACACTCACTGTCTAGCCTCCGACACTCACTGTCTGGCCTCCGACACTCACTGTCTGGCCTCCGACACTCACTCTCTAGCCTCCGACACTCACTGTCTAGCCTCCGACACTCACTGTCTAGCCTCCGACACTCTGTCTAGCCTCCGACTCTCTGTCTAGCCTCCGACACTCACTGTCTGGCCTCCGACACTCACTGTCTAGCCTCCGACACTCACTCTCTAGCCTCCGACACTCACTGTCTAGCCTCCGACACTCACTGTCTAGCCTCCGACACTCTGTCTAGCCTCCGACTCTCTGTCTAGCCTCCGACACTCACTGTCTGGCCTCCGACACTCACTGTATGGCCTCCGACACTCACTGTCTGGCCTCCGACACTCTGTCTGGCCTCCGACACTCTGTCTGGCCTCCGACACTCTGTCTGGCCTCCGACACTCTGTCTGGCCTCCGACACTCACTGTCTAGCCTCCGACACTCTGTCTGGCCTCCGACACTCTGTCTGGCCTCCGACACTCTGTCTGGCCTCCGACACTCTGTCTGGCCTCCGACACTCACTGTATAGCCTCCGACACTCACTGTCTAGCCTCCGACACTCACTGTCTAGCCTCCGACACTCACTGTCTAGCCTCCGACACTCACTGTCTAGCCTCCGACTCTCACTGTCTAGCCTCCGACACTCTGTCTAGCCTCCGACACTCACTGTCTGGCCTCCGACACTCACTGTCTGGCCTCCGACACTCACTGTCTGGCCTCCGACACTCACTGTCTGGCCTCCGACACTCACTATCTAGCCTCCGACACTCACTGTCTAGCCTCCGACACTCTGTCTAGCATCCGACATTCTGTCTGGCCTCCGACACTCACTGTCTGGCCTTCGACACTCACTGTCTAGCCTCCGACACTCACTCTCCAGCTGAGGCTGAGTCCCTCAGTGTCACTCCACCTGCTCTGTCCTCCCACTTGTGCGTGAAGCCTAAACGTTTCCACCAGATGTCCTTAATAACACGTTAGAGGAGGGCGGAACTCTCCAGACGGGAAGAAAATGGGTAATGGTTGTGCGTGTGGGTTAATATAGCGTGCTGCCAGTTAGGCCAGCCGAGCCCTAATGGGCTGTACAGGTGCCTCTTTACTGTGTCAGTGTTAAATGGTCTCTGACACTGATGATACACTGCCCCCCCCCCCCCGACCTGTGTGTCATTAGTGTCACATTACCCTCTCTTACCACTTGAAGTGGAATGGTTGTTAGAGACCCTTGTCTGTGAGGTCCCTCTCGGCGCTCTCTTTATGTGCTGGCGTAGAGCGTTCCTTCTGCTGCTATCTGGCTCCATCTGGCCCCAGTGACCATCTGGCCCCAGTGACCATCTGGCCCCAGTGACCATCTGGCCCCAGTGACCATCTGGCCCCAGTGACCATCTGGCCCCAGTGACCATCTGGCCCCAGTGACCATTCCTCACTATGTACTAACACTATTCTCTTGGTCCACAGCGCCCCGGGCCTCACCATGTACTAACACTATTCTCTTGGTCCACAGCGCCCCGGGCCTCACTATGTACTAACACTATTCTCCTGGTCCACAGCGCCCCGGGCCTCACTATGTACTAACACTATTCTCCTCGTCCACAGCGCCCCGGGCCTCACTATGTACTAACACTATTCTCTTGGTCCACAGCGCCCCGGGCCTCACTATGTACTAACACTATTCTCCTGGTCCACAGCGCCCCGGGCCTCACTATGTACTAACACCATTCTCTTGGTCCACAGCGCCCCGGCCTCACTATGTACTAACACTATTCTCCTGGTCCACAGCGCCCCGGGCCTCACTATGTACTAACACTATTCTCCTCGTCCACAGCGCCCCGGGCCTCACTATGTACTAACACTATTCTCTTGGTCCACAGCGCCCCGGGCCTCACTATGTACTAACACTATTCTCCTGGTCCACAGCGCCCCGGGCCTCACTATGTACTAACACTATTCTCCTGGTCCACAGCGCCCCGGGCCTCACTATGTACTAACACTATTCTCTTGGTCCACAGCGCCGCAGGAGGGGACCTTCAGACTCTCCTGGACGAAGACATGGTACCATATGAACGAGACGTCATCAGCTTCACGCGACAGCTCCTCGAGGGACTCGTATATGTTCACGACCTCAACCTCGTGCACCTGGACATTAAGGTAAACACTAACAATGTAATAAAGTTCTGGTAAAGCACTATTCAGGTGGTGGTGAAGGCGTGTCAACCTTGGCTGACGAACTAAACCCTAATTGTCACTTTACAGTCTCCTCTTCATTACTGACACACACACACACACACACACACACACACACACACACACACACACACACACACACACACACACACACACACACACACACACACACACACACATATAACAAAACACACACACACACACACACACACACACACACACACACACACACACACACACACACACACACACACACACACACACACACACACACATATATAACAAAACAACACAGAAATCATCGATAGATACAGTGATAGCAGGAGGTTAATAATTAATACCCATATACAGTTGTCCAGCTGGTGTTGGTGACAAACCAACTCTTTGTATGTTACCTGGCTTGAGGACAAGTGCCTACATCAAACTCAACTTACCATATAATGGCAACTTGTCAATGTTGCAGTGACCTGAGCCCAAGGCAGCAGTGTAGTGCAACACTGCCAAGTTATTATTATTAACATCTTTATTGACAAAATTAATTACAATTTTGCCTAATCTGAGGATTTCGATTAAGTCTTATTAAAGTGAGGATAATGCTGGTATTCACTATCACGCAGGACAGAGGGTCATACATAAGACAATAGGCCTAAACTGTAGGCTGAAGCATATATATATCATGGTTACAATCAATGTTTTAATGTATGGATATGTGAAAACAACTTTCTATTGTGCACTGCCACACAAGGGCAGGGATGGGTTCATAAGTGATGCAGCTTAGAAGTAATATAAATAAAAATTGTTCTTCATTCTATAAAATGGACAAGCAAATTTTGGGTAAATTGTTAGGATGTCGTCCAGAACACCTGAGTCAATAAAATAGTTACACAGTTGGTGGTACAAGAGGCCAGGAGGTCTAAAGTCCTTTACGGGTTCGCATTCAACAATATAGTGTTCTAGTGAATGCATTAAAGGTTTATCACAGAGTTTACAATCTGAGTATTCTGGTAGTGGCTCAGCCTCACTAACCTGCCACATGTGTCTATAGCCAAGGCGAATTATCGCAATGGAATTATCGCAGATTTCAGGTCTCTGGGCATTTCTTAGTTCTTCTAAATCTGAATTAATTTCTTTAATGTGTATGTTTCTAATAATTGCATTAGATAGTCCAAAGTCATAATCAATGTTTTCTTTCCTGCAAGCCTCATTGGCCAATCGATCTACAAAGTCATGTTTTCCAACTCCAACATGGGATGGGATCCACACAAATTTTATACAAGAGTTATTATCATTGACAAAAATTACATTCCATTTAATATTACAAGCTACTTCAGACATACATTGTGATGGGTTATTTAGGGGCTGCAGAGCAGAGATTTTTAAGGGTTGACAGATGTTTAATCTTCTTGTTTGAGGAGCTGTTCACCTGAGACAGTTAAGCAAGTCCCAGCTGTGTCTGGGTACAAGTGACGGGATGAACAACCCATACTTCCATAGTAGTGGTAGTAGGCACGTAGACCGGCCGTTTTGATTTTTCCGACGGCCGGTCTACGCGTCGTGATTTTTTCCGTGAAACGGCGATGGACGGTCTACGTGTTGTGATTTTTTTCCATGGGAGAGCAAAGGTTCCCTCTTAGGTCCTGCCATTTCGTTCAAGGGGATTAAAAAGCCACCATCCGCTCGGGTCCATTTTCGTTACCCCAGCGAGTAATTGCTAGCCTTCTAGTCTCTTTAAATTTCTTTCAAGGGGCTTAAAAGGCCGGCTCCTGTCCATGCTGTTTTGCGGTACCCCAGCCAGTGATTGTCTTCTAATTCCCTTTAAATTTTGCTCAAAGGGGATTAATTAATTAATTTAAAAGGCCGCCTTCCGTCTGGGGTGTCCACCATCGCCCCAGCGACCAGCACAGGTGCATTCATCTTCCCAAATTAGGGCCGTTTTCCTTAATGATGTGTTTCCATACGGTTTCCCATTTTCAAAAGATCATTTTCTCTCTAAGACTGAAGATTGAACATTGGAAATGAAATTGCAGAAGACCTTTTACAGGTTATCCTATTTAGTTGCAATCTATGTTAACCAGGCTGGTGAGGCGCCACTCACACTGACTGGTGAGGCGCCACTCTCACTGACTGGTGAGGCGCCACTCACACTGACTGGTGAGGCGCCACTCTCACTGACTGGTGAGGCGCCACTTACACTGACTGGTGTGGCGCCACTCTCACTGACTGGTGTGGCGCCACTCTCACTGACTGGTGGGGCGCCACTCTCACTGACTGGTGAGGCGCCACTCTCACTGACTGGTGAGGCGCCACTCTCACTGACTGGTGAGGCGCCACTCACACTGACTGGTGAGGCGCCACTCACACTGACTGGTGAGGCGCCACTCACACTGACTGGTGAGGCGCCACTCTCACTGACTGGTGAGGCGCCACTCACACTGACTGGTGAGGCGCCACTCTCACTGACTGGTGAGGCGCCACTCACACTGACTGGTGAGGCGCCACTCACACTGACTGGTGAGGCGCCACTCTCACTGACTGGTGAGGCGCCACTCACATTGACTGGTGAGGCGCCACTCACACTGACTGGTGAGGCGCCACTCTCACTGACTGGTGAGGCGCCACTCTCACTGACTGGTGAGGCGCCACTCTCACTGACTGGTGAGGCGCCACTCTCACTGACTGGTGAGGCGCCACTCTCACTGACTGGTGAGGCGCCACTCACACTGACTGGTGAGGCGCCACTCACACTGACTGGTGAGGCGCCACTCACACTGACTGGTGAGGCGCCACTCTCACTGACTGGTGAGGCGCCACTCTCACTGACTGGTGAGGCGCCACTCTCACTGACTGGTGAGGCGCCACTCACACTGACTGGTGAGGCGCCACTCACACTGACTGGTGAGGCGCCACTCTCACTGACTGGTGAGGCGCCACTCACACTGACTGGTGAGGCGCCACTCTCACTGACTGGTGAGGCGCCACTCTCACTGACTGGTGAGGCGCCACTCACACTGACTGGTGAGGCGCCACTCTCACTGACTGGTGAGGCGCCACTCTCACTGACTAGTGAGGCGCCACACTGACTGGTGAGGCGCCACACTGACTGGTGAGGCGCCACACTGACTGGTGAGGCGCCACACTGACTAGTGAGGCGCCACACTGACTGGTGAGGCGCCACTCACACTGACTGGTGAGGCGCCACACTGACTGGTGAGGCGCCACTCACACTGACTGGTGAGGCGCCACTCACACTGACTGGTGAGGCGCCACACTGACTGGTGAGGCGCCACTCTCACTGACTGGTGAGGCGCCACTCACACTGACTGGTAAGGCGCCACTCACACTGACTGGTGAGGCGCCACTCACACTGGTGAGGCGCCACTCTCACTGACTGGTGAGGCGCCACTCTCACTGACTGGTGAGGCGCCACTCTCACTGACTGGTGAGGCGCCACTCTCACTGACTGGTGAGGCGCCACTCTCACTGACTGGTGAGGCGCCACTCACACTGACTGGTGAGGCGCCACTCACACTGACTGGTGAGGCGCCACTCACACTGACTGGTGAGGCGCCACTCACACTGACTGGTGAGGCGCCACTCACACTGACTGGTGAGGCGCCACACTGACTGGTGAGGCGCCACTCACACTGACTGGTGAGGCGCCACTCTCACTGACTGGTGAGGCGCCACTCTCACTGACTGGTGAGGCGCCACTCACTGGTGAGGCGCCACTCTGACTGGTGAGGCGCCACTCACACTGACTGGTGAGGCGCCACTCACACTGATCTGGTGAGGCGCTACTCACACTGACTGGTGAGGCGCCACTCACACTGACTGGTGAGGCGCCACTCTCACTGACTGGTGAGGCGCCACTCACACTGACTGGTGAGGCGCCACTCACACTGACTGGTGAGGCGCCACACTGACTGGTGAGGCGCCACTCTCACTGACTGGTGAGGCGCCACTCACACTGACTGGTGAGGCGCCACTCTCACTGACTGGTGAGGCGCCACTCACACTGACTGGTGAGGCGCCACTCACACTGACTGGTGAGGCGCCACTCTCACTGACTGGTGAGGCGCCACTCTCACTGACTGGTGAGGCGCCACTCTCACTGACTGGTGAGGCGCCACTCACACTGACTGGTGAGGCGCCACTCACACTGACTGGTGAGGCGCCACTCTCACTGACTGGTGAGGCGCCACTCTCACTGACTGGTGAGGCGCCACTCACACTGACTGGTGAGGCGCCACTCACACTGACTGGTGAGGCGCCACACTGACTGGTGAGGCGCCACTCTCACTGACTGGTGAGGCGCCACTCACACTGACTGGTGAGGCGCCACTCACACTGACTGGTGAGGCGCCACTCACACTGACTGGTGAGGCGCCACTGTCACTGACTGGTGAGGCGCCACTCTCACTGACTGGTGAGGCGCCACTCTCACTGACTGGTGAGGCGCCACTCACACTGACTGGTGAGGCGCCACTCTCACTGACTGGTGAGGCGCCACTCACACTGACTGGTGAGGCGCCACTCACACTGACTGGTGAGGCGCCACACTGACTGGTGAGGCGCCACTCTCACTGACTGGTGAGGCGCCACTCTCACTGACTGGTGAGGCGCCACTCTCACTGACTGGTGAGGCGCCACTCACACTGACTGGTGAGGCGCCACTCACACTGACTGGTGAGGCGCCACTCTCACTGACTGGTGAGGCGCCACTCACACTGACTGGTGAGGCGCCACTCACACTGACTGGTGAGGCGCCACTCTCACTGACTGGTGAGGCGCCACTCACACTGACTGGTGAGGCGCCACTCTCACTGACTGGTGAGGCGCCACTCTCACTGACTAGTGAGGCGCCACACTGACTGGTGAGGCGCCACACAGACTGGTGAGGCGCCACACTGACTGGTGAGGCGCCACACTGACTGGTGAGGCGCCACACTGACTAGTGAGGCGCC